TGCAAGACTTCAGGTACGTCTTGCTACTTTTACTTACACTCAAGTCACACTACACATGCATGTACAAGTATACATGTATATATACACACACCCCTATGAGTTTTCTTCTGTTTTCTTACGAGTTATGTTCTTGTTTATCTCTTATCTCCATGAGAAAGTGGAACAGAATTCTTCCTCTGTAAGCCATGCATGTTGTAAGAGGTTACTAAAATGCCAGGAGCAAGGGTCTAGTAACCCCTTCTCCTGTATACATTACTAAAGTTAAAAAGAGAAACTTTTGTTTTTCTTTTTGGGTCACCCTGCTTCAGTGGGACACCGTCGGTTTGTTGAAAGAAGAAGAAGAAGAAGAAGAAGAAGAAGAATAGAGATTAAACTATTAAGTGTATATGTATTGGGATATACACCCATCCAAGTTTATACCAGTTGACACTTCTGCTTTCAATGCATCTGTCAGTACATACACATCAAGAGATTGTATATATAAAGTGATTTGATATTTATAATCTCTGATTTTATATAAATAGCAAAAGCTTGATGACATGTTAATATTTTATATGAAAATGCTACTTGTAATAGATATTATATTGTGTAGTAAAAGTAGGTCTTAGGGATGTGTAATGTCGCCATGGTTGTTTAATATATTTATAGATGGGGTTGTAAAAGAAGTAAATGCTAGTGTGATGGGGAGAAGGGTAGGATTAAATTTTGGGGAATTAAATACAAAATGGGAGTTGACAGTTACTTTTTGCTGATGATACTGTGCTTTTGAGAGATTCTGAAGAAAAGTTGCAAAGGTTAGTGGATGAGTTTGGGAGGGTGTGTAAAGGTAGAAAGTTGAAAGTGAACATAGATAAGAGTTAAGTGATGAGGGTATCAAACATTTTAGATAAAGAAAAATTGGATATCACAATGGAGAGAGGGAGTATAGAAGAAGTGAATGTTTTCAGATATTTGGGAGTTGACTTGTCAGCAGATGGGTTTATGAAACGTGAGGTTAACCATAGAATTGATGGAGGAAAAAAAAGGCGAGTGGTGCGTTGAGGTATCTGTGGAGACACAAAAAAAACGTTATCCATGGAGGCAAAGAAGGGAATGTACGAAAGTATAGTGGTACCAACACTGTTATATGGGTGTGAAGCTTGGGTTGTAAGTGCTGCAGCGAGGAGGTGACTGGAGCCAGTGGAGATGTCGTGTCTAAGGGCAGTGTGTGGTGTCAATATTATGCAGAGAATTTGGAGTGTGGAAATTAGGAGGAGGTGTGGAGTTGCTAGAAGTATTAGTCAGAGGGCTGAAGAGGGGTTGTTGAGGTGGTTTGATCATTTAGAAAGAATGGAACAGAGTAGAATGACTTGGAGAGCGTATAAATCTATAGGGGAAGGAAGGCAGGGTAGGGGTCGTCCTCAAAAAGGTGGGAGAGAGGGGGTAAAGGAGGTTTGTAGGCAAGGGACTTGAACTTCTAGCAAGCATGTAGATAGGAGTGAATGGGGACAAATGGTTTTTGGGACCTGTTGATCTGTTGGAGTGTGAGCAAGGTAATATTTTGTGAAGGGATTCATGGAAACCAGTTAGCCAGACTTGAGTCCTGGAAATGGGAAGTAAGTACAATGCCTGCACTTTAAAGGAGGGGTTTGAGATATTGGCAGTTTGGAGGACCTTCTAAACTGTCATATCTGAGTGCCTCTGTGCTGTATAGCCCTTGTGGCTTAGTGCTTCTTTTTGATTATAATAATAATGAGTGCCTCTGTAAAGACAGTGATAATGTATGAGTGATGGTGAAAGTGTTGAATGATGATGATAGTATTTTTCTTTCTTTTTGGGTTTTTCCTTCTTTTTGGGTCACCCTGCCTCGGTGGGAAACGACCAATGTGTTAAAAAAAAAAAAAAACTTTTATAGAGGGTTTGCTTATTGCAGGAATTACAGCACAGTATGTCACATGAACATTTTTCTGATAAATACCTTGCTTTTCCAAGTATTTTCAAGCATTTTAAAATGCTACCAAAATACCGTCGCTAAATGAAGAATATATGTATACTCTTAGAATGTTATATGATAGGTTATTCCTTTGGTGTTGTTGTCTACAGAAATTTTATCTGAAGTTTTAACAGTTACTGCTGCTGCTGCCACAACCACCACTCTCCTCCCCTAACCAGATCACCACTTGGGTGACAAGCAGCTTACTAATAGAAAACATTTGACTCGCACTCCCAAGATGCTGGGTTGGATTCCTAAGCATACCAATACATATAGATGCAGGTTTCCTTATGCACCTGTTTTCTCTGCTTACTCAACAGTAAACATAAATACCTGTGTGTATGTATGTTGTGGATTGCATCAAAGGAAAGATCTGCTATTGTCTACAGATGTGTTAGATTCTCCAGTTCTGTCTTAAGTTAAAAAAATTTTCTTTAACACACTGGTCATTCACCATCCATTCAATAGCTGCCTTGCCATAGGTGTGCAGAACAGTTGTTAAATTAATGTTGGTGAGTGTTTCCCTCTTTTTGGGGTTCCCCTACCTGAGAGATGGCCAGTGTCTTAAAAAAAAATAGTCGTATTCTGGGCCAATGACAGTGTATGAGAAAACTGCAGACCTTCTGGAAGACATCCTGGGAAAAATGGAAATGTGTAAGAAAACACCAGCCCTACTGAAAGTCATATTCTGAGCAAATGGAAATGTGTAAGACTGCTGACCTGCTGGAAGTATACAAGTGTTTGGTAAAAGGTACCTGCACATTGTGGTGTATCTTATAATATTAAGCAAAAAATCTACTATTACCATTGCTACTACAATTTCCCTGTATTTATAGTGTGTATTTTTATATGCACTCCATGGGGAAGTAGAGAAGAATCCTCTGTAAGCCATGTTTGTCATAAGAGGCCACTACAATGCCAGGTGCAAGGGGCTAGTAACCCCCTTCTGTATAAATTACTAAATATGAAAAGAAAAACTTTGACGGTGTTTCTTCTTTTTTGGGGTCACCTGTCTCGGTGGGAGAATTTGGGTGTTAAAAAAAATTATATACAGTAGTTTACATCTTCACCTGCAAGAACAGAAATAATCTCTTGGTATTATTAAATGTGAAAAAGTGAAATATGAATACTGAAGAAGTTAGTCATTATTAATCTTTTGGACCCTTGTAGGTTTAGTGCTTCTTTTTGATTAAAATAATATTAATCTTTTGTTTGTGGTTTTATGTGCAGTACTTTATATAGGTTAAATTTCAGAAAATATTAAAATTTTATGCCTTTTTTTATAAGGATCACATCAAAATAGATTTCTAAACTACAGGCAGACCACGCTTTATACTGCTAGTTAGATTCCCGGCTACTGCTGTAAAATGAAACAGCCTTCTTTTTTTTTTTTCCTTTTTTTCACACCTTCAAATGCATATAAAGGCCTGATAACATGTTTACACTATCTTAAAAATGCATATACACTACACGCATTACTTGCCTTAAAAATAATTTTGTCCTTGGCTAATAGTGAGTGGTAAATATATTTATTGTAGGAAGTCTGAATAAATGAAGAATAGGTATAATTGAAAACCCCTACATTAGTGAAACACTGTAAAACGAGGCCTGCCTGTACATAAGTTATATTACTTGATCCAAGGAACTACTGTATATTAGCTATGTATTTGGTATTAATACATGTTTTACATGAGTAGTGTAAGGCATTAATAAATACTGTAGTGTATTGGAAAATAGTTAAAAAGAGAATTTATGATAAATATGGTATTTTGCAATTACAGTGTATATAAACGTTCTTACAATAATAAGAACAAAGGTTAGATCATTGAAGGGTAAAAAAAAAAAAAACAGAATTTAGACTTTTGTTTTCAGGTTTCAATTAACTTTTGTACAACTCTACAAACATAGTGTAGGAATATCAAGGGCAGTATTTATAATATGTAGTAATCATTAAAAATGAGCATTATTAACAGTGTAAATGTGTTGCAAGGATATCCTGCGTAAGGCACACACAGTAAAAGGAGATCTTTAGTAGTAGCACTGTTTATCTACACGAGACTTTATCAAGTGATAAAGCCTCACTTATTACAAGATGGACATAAATATACAGAGATCCTAGGATGGCAAAGCTGATTCCATGTCTTAGAAACTTCTAAAAACATAGGATGAAAGCACTGAATTTGCACTATGGAAAGGTGTTGAATTAGGGTAGAGATGACCGACGTGTACAATTGGTTAACAGGAATTAATAATTGGGGTATAAATAGCATATTGAAAATATCTAACCAAAACAGGACTTGCTGAAATGAATTCAAGTTGGAGGAATTTAGATATAGAAAGAACATTGGGAAGACTGATTTGGCAGTCGAGTTGTGGATAGGTGGAATAAGCTTCAGGTAACATCATTGAGGCAAAAACCTTGGATAGCTTTAAATACAAGTTGGATGCATACATGAGTGGGTGTGAGCTGGACCTACTTAGCATGGGCCAGTAGGCCTGATGCAGTGTTACTTTGTTTTTATGTTTTTGTAATCAAGCTTCATGTAGGTGAAAAGTTGTACTAATAATGGTCTCCTCTTACTGTTAGTGTGTTCTTACCACTTGTTGTATATGCCACACTTCAACTGAAGTATAACTCTGTTGGCCCTTAAAGCTTATTTTATCGTGGTGATTCAGCTGGTTGTGTTAGTGTAAGGAGGACTTGCACATGGCTGCTCTTATTGCATGACTCACTGTTGTCTGTACTCTGCTTTCCTCTTGTTGTTTGCCTACTTTGCATCTTGGTAAGGATTTCCACTTGTTTTATTAAATACAGTTTTCACTTAGTGATGTGCACGAAGATGTATTTGTTCTAATTGTAGTATTACACTCTGGGAATACAGTACTAATACTGTATCATGAAGAATATAATGAAATGTAAAGCATTGTACTGTATTTTGCATATTAGTTTATTTCATTTATGAAAAATACTTATTTAAATGACTCTGTGACATATATGAATATACTGTACATTATTGCACTTTATTAAATTAATGACCTTGATGAGTGTGAATCTCTACATTTACAGACAGAGGAGCTAACGGTGTCACTAACCAGGCCAGTGTACAACACGTCATACTATTCTGTGAGTAATCTTATATTTTCTGTATACTTTCTTAATTTGTATAAATGAAATACTACATGTATGTAAAAATTAAATAGTATTAATTTTTTACATATTATGTGATGTGCCAAGTCCACAGTGGGGCATGTCACATAATAAAAGCTTTCTCTGTTAAAAGTGTCTGAAGTTATTACATGTTGGCTTATGTCACTGTTAAAGATCATGGTAGATAATTAATATTTTAAAGAAGTTCTCACTGTATGACAGGAGGAAACTTGATTACCAGATGCAGGATTATAAACTGAAACTGGTAATTTTTACGTTCACCCTGGACCCAGGTGCAGAATTTTGTTAGCATTATATTGAAAACGTGCTCATTGAGCATGTGATACTAATTGAATTTCTACCATATTCATAGGGAAAACCCTGAACCCATGAGGGTTATGATGTGCCTGGAAAATGGGAGTTAATCAGGTAGCTTCAAGTTCCTTAGATCGAGTTCTTCACCAGCATAAAGGTACCTTCCTTCAGGGGACAAATAGTGTGGTACAGTAATGGAATAAGAGCCAGAAGCAGGTAATAAGAGCCAAGAGGATGCAATAAGAGCCAAGAGAGACCATGAGCATGTTAAAAAAAAAATTACCAGTAAAATTGGTATTACAAAAGAAAAGTAGTTTCAAGTTGTTCCAGAAAATGGGACGTACTGGAATATAGAAATACAGTGATTCCTATACTTACGAGTTTAATCCATTCCATGGCCTTGCGTGCATCTGGATTTGCTTGTTTGCAGAGTCAATTTTCCTCATTTAAATTAATTGAAATGGAATTAATTCGTTCCAGTGGAATTCCAGGCACAACAAAATACTTCAATAATTTCCCTAATATCAACTCTATGACTTATTTATCTATCACACTTCATCTAATATGACATAATAAACAATATTAATAACATAGAAACATGATATATACACTAAAATGAATAAAACATGTCATTACGTATGTGGCTAGTGGTGGTGATAGCGGCCATTGCTGTTGTTGGGGTTTGTAGGGCCACCACAGTTAGTTTAATATGTTACCACCACAATGGCCATTCCTGCTCCTGACTACATGTGTAGAGAACCTAGGATAACCCAAAAAAGTCAGTGACTTATAATTACTACACTCTTAATGCTACACTTTGTTACTGACTCCTTCTGCTTTAATATTGTACTCATCGTAGAAATGGTAGCTGGTACTGCCTGGCCAAGTCCTTAACACTCAAAACTAGTTTGTTTATCTATGATTGCCTGCTTTAATTCCATGGAAATCATCCTCTGTTTCTTCTCAGCACTGTCCTTTGCACTTACTTTCTTAGGACCCTTGGTTAGAAGCAAGAAATTTCACAAAATAACTGCACAAAACATAAAGAAAACACAAGAATTCCTTCCACCACGAGTGGAGTGGACTGAGCATTGTTTTGATACATACTGCCATCCCATGGTGGCATTCGGAAACTCACTTATAGTATAGGGTACAACAAGGTCTGCCACTGCTGCTTCATGTTGTCTGCCACTGCTACCTCATGATGTCTGCTCCTACTTTTGCTAGTGTGTCGAAGAGCTTTCCAATATGTGAAGGTTGAGGGGCAGTGCCAATCGGACAGGTATTGGACATTTGTTTACTCTTGAACATCGCCAAAGAATTGAACATTTCTGCTACTTTGAACTCAGTTTCGATGTACTTTTTGTCATGAAACTAATCAAAATCATATCTATTCCTGTAGTATATCTTCCATTCTATCAAATGAGACCAAAAAAAATGAGAATACAACCATAAAAACCATACGAAAATACACTACTAAGGGGAGGCTAGTGGCTGAGAAGTGAACTCCATTATTTATGGTCCAATTTCTTTCATTTTTCGTGTACATTAAGAAGCATCTTCCCATCATACATTGACCAAGTTTCAATAAGATAGTCCAACAAACAACTGAGATCTAATTCCCTACAGCAAGAGCCCCTCACCAGTGTCGAGGAATCTCCCTCGAGGCCCATTCGCATCTGGAAATTTCGCTCGCGTCTGGAAGCAAATAATTGACCGAGCAACTCCTCGTATATGGAAAAACTCACATGTGGATGCACTTGTGAGTAGAGGTACCACTGCAATAATAATAATAATAATAATAATAATAATAATAATAATAATATAATAATAATGTGATGTTGCCATGGTTGTTTAATATACATGTATTTATAGATGGGGTTGTAAGAGAAGTGAATGCTTGGGTGTTGGCAAGAGGTGTGGGGTTAAAAGATAAATAATCTAACACAAAGTGGATGTTGTCACAGTTGCTCTTTGCTCATGACACTGTGCTTTTGGGAGATTCTGAAGAGAAGTGGTAGAGGTTGGTGGATGAGTTTGGTAGGGTATGTAAAAGAAGAAAATTAAAAGTGAATATAGGAAAGAGTAAGGTGATGAGGATAAAAAAAAATTAGGTAATGAAAGATTGGAAATCAGATTGAAGGGAGATAGTATGGAGGAAGTGAATGTATTCAGATATTTAGGAGTGGATATGTCAGCAGAGGGTCTATGAAAGATGAGGTGAATCATAGAATTGACGAGGGGAAAAAGGCGAGTGGTGCACTAAGGAGTCTGTAGAGACAAAGAACTTTGTCTATGGAAGCAAAGAGGGGAATGAAGGAGAGTATATTTATACCAATGCTCTTATATGGGTGTGAAGAATGGGTGGTGAATGTTGCAAGAAGAAGGCTGGAGGCAGTGGAGATGTCATGTCTAAGGGTAATGTGTGGTGTGACTATAATGAAGAGAATTCATAGTTTGGAAATTAGGAGGAGGAGGTGCGGGATTACCAAAGCTATTATCCAGAGGGCTGAGGAGGGGTTGTTGAGGTGTTCAGACATATAGAGAGGATGGAACAAAATGAAATGACTTTGAGAGTGTATACATCTCTAGTGGAGGGAACCTCTAGGGTAGGAGTTGGCTGAGGAAAGGTTGGAGGGAGGGGGTAAAGGAGGTTTTGTGTACAAGGGGATTGGACTTCTAGCAAGCATACGTGAGCATGTTAGGTAGGAGCAAATGGAGACAAATGGTTTTTAGGACTTGACGTGCTGTTAGAGTGTGAACAAGGTAACATTTATGAAGGGATTCAGGGACACCAGCAGGTTGGACTTGAGTTCTGGAGATGGGAAGTACAGTGTCTGCACTCTGAAGGAGGGGTGTTAATGTTGCAGTTTTATAACTGTAGTGTAACCCCACCTCTGGTAAGACAGTGATGGAGTAAATGATGGTGAAAGTTTTTCTTTTTCGGGCCACTCTGCCTTGGTGGGAGACGGCTGATGTGTCAGTAAAAAAATAGATAAATTAATAATAATCTTTATTTCTACAAGTACATGTACAAAGTATACATACAGGCCTAGCTGACATCAGTGACATACTACTGTATAGAAAGCCCCTTGTTATGCAGAGCATTTTGGGAAAATTAGGTCATTTTTTTTCCCCAGGATGCGACCCACACCAATCGACTAATGCCTAGATACCTGTTTTACTGTGATAGGTGAACAGGGACAGCTGAGATCTTATTGTAAGAATACAGTATATTTATTATATAGCATTTGTTGTACCAAATATTAAAATACGATATGTATATACGTAATAAATGCAAGTCATTACACTGACCATCTTTGTTGACAGAATACATCAACATTAGCAGGAGTTGCAGGCATTGATATCCCTATACAAACCCTAAAGAATCTCTCGCCCTTTGAAGCCCTGGGACCAAATGGTTACGCATTCATCATTAACCACAATGGTTTCCTTGTGCTTCATCCAAGACTCTGCAAACAACTCTCCTATCTTTTGGTGAGATCAATATTATTTTTTTAAATACAGTGGACCCCCAGTTAACGATATTTTTTCACTCCAGAAGTATGTTCAGGTGCCAGTACTGACCGAATTTGTTCCCATAAGGAATATTGTGAAGTAGATTAGTCCATTTCAGACCCCCAAACATACACGTACAAACGCACTTACATAAATACACTTGCATAATTGGTCGCATTCGGAGGTGATCATTATGCAGGGGTCCACTGTACTTTCAGATGTGTTTATGTAATGTCGTGAAAATTGAAAATATGTACTATGAGTATAACAGTATATGAATTATGGTAGGAAAAAATGTCGTACTGTACGAGCCCCAGTTTTAGCAGTACAGTACTTAAGTGTTCTGAATCGTAAGGCTGAGGCTTATTATGATAGAACAATCAAGGGCACGTTCTGTTGAAAGAAAATGAGAAACTGTTTCATGTCATAATGATGCATTTTCTAGTTTTCTTGATTAATGATGCAATTTGCAGTCTCTTGATTAATGATGCAATTTGCAGTCTCTTGATTAATGATGCATTTTGTAGTCTCTTGATTAATGATGCATTTTGTAGTCTCTTGATTAATGATGCATTTTGCAGTCTCTTGATTAATGATGCATTTTGCAGTCTCTTGATTAATGATGCATTTTGTAGTCTTATTAACCATTTCAGGGTCCAAGGCCAAAATTGGAAGGGGTGCCCCAGTGTCCAAGAAATTTTGAAAAAAAAAAAAAAAAAAAAAAAAAAATTCTTACAGAATTAAGAGTATATTTTTGTGAAGGTAATAAAACAAAAAAAAAATTTCTGATCAGTACTTACTGAGATACAGTGCCGAGAAGTTGACCCAAAATGACCGGGTGGAGGCAACATCGACGATTTCCACATACGCGCGTTACTTTATTTTACATTTTTTATAATTTTTTCTTTTTTCTAATTTTTTTCTTTTCCTACTAACATTTGGGGCCTGAGAGACCAATACTGTATATAATGTATATATATAAACTCACTGTATTGAACACAATAACTGCACTAAAGTTATTATAATATTGTTTACCACTTTTGTTTATTACAATAAACATGCACAAATCTTGTATAATACTAATGTTCTATCATATATTTACATATGTACAATCACTGGACATGTTTTTAGAACTGCTGCAGCTTGTGAAACTCCTTGAAACAAGGCACCATGCACAGAGGTACCTTACATTCCTCGCACATAAACCGAGTGTCTTTGTTGCCGTCGTTTTGTTTGTGCACAGACAACACATCTCTGCTGAGCAAGTTTCTTCTTAGTTGCAGGAAGCTGTATTATGAAGTGATCGCCTTCCCTCCTCAAACACTTGGGTATATCCTGAGGAGTTCGAGGACGGTTTTGTATAGCAGGTGTTGTTACCTGGTATTTCATTATGAGTTGTCTGACAACAGACAAACAAAATTCACCAGAGGTTGGTCTGTTGCCAGTCTTCATTTGGTACATATTATATGCATTGAGCATTGAAATGTCCACGAGATGGAAGAAAAGTTTCATATATCACTTGTAACTCTTACGAACACAATCAGCAAAGCCAATCTGCCTATCACATTTGTCAACCAAGCACATGTTTTGTATATAATCAATCACTGTCACTGGTTTTCGAATATGTTCATTAGTCATTCTATCAACTTTGCCACTGTCTTGCATTTCGTTACGGTGAATGGTTGTCAACAATGTGACATCTCGTTTGTCTTGCCACCGTAATGCCATGATGTCATTGGCAGTAAACACCTGCACCTCATCACCACGAGTGCCTGCGTTGAACCTGGGCATGTGTTTACGATTAGAATTCACTGTGCCACACACATCTGTCTTGTTCACTCGCAAGAAATCACTGAGTAAAGGGCTTGTGTACCAGTTATCGGTATATAATGTATGCCCCTTGCCAAGATAAGGTGCCATCATGCTTCTCACTATGTCACCTGAGATACTCAATAACATCCTGGTATCTTTCAATGTTTTACTTCCCATGTATACAACATTATCCAATACCAGGCCACTGTCAGTCACAGAGTACAAAGAGTTTTATACCAAAGTGTTTCCTCTTGCTCGGTGTATACTGTTTGAATGACAGTCTACCTTTGAACAAAATCAAAGATTCATCAAGTACAAGATTCTTGAATGGATAAAAGTACACATTGAACTTTTGTTTGAGATACATAAAAACATTTCTAATCTTGTATAACCTGTCACTTCTGTCAGGCCTGGTTTTGTCAGAGAAGTGCAACATACATAACAGTAAGATAAACCTGTTCACTGGGATGATTTCACTGAAGACCGGGGTAGAAATTAGCCGATCTGTGGACCAGTATGCTTTTATATTATGCTTATAGACATAAGGCATAAGCATTATTGTTGCAGAAAGCAAATACATTTCTGCAACAGTTGTCTCTTTCCACCGGTGTAGTCTTGACTGTGGTGATATCATCGTATTTGCCATGGTGTACTTAAAATACTTGTTACTTTCCCTGACAATAGTTTCCATCAAGGGCTGGTCAAAGAATAGTTCAAAAAATTCCAGTTCATTGGCAGTGGTTCCAAGGGGACAAGTAGGTAGAATTCCACTTTGAGAGTCATCAAACTGGTGGGGCTTGGGAACAAAATTGGGATTTTGCTGCCAATCCCAGATACGGTTTGCTGGTGGATACTGGACATCATAGGCTGGTTGTGGTGGGCTGGTGGCTGACGCTCCGCTTTGTCCTTGAACTGAGGAGTCAGCACTGTGGGTCCCAGGCTGGGCTGGTGAGTCATGCATGGCCGTGGCACTACCATTTATTTATTTATTTATTTATTTTGTCTGCAAACAGTACATTGAGATTTTATATTTACAATAGTGGGTTGCAATGCAAAGAGAGCCTCTATTATACCTAGGCATTATGGGCCACCTTAACATTATTGGCTTAGTCTACTTAATACTAAGGAGTATATCAGTTGTACAGTAGGATAGTAATTATTTCATAGTTGTACAGTAGAATATTAATTATAAATGAATCAAAATTTGTATAATACCACCACCACCTACTGATGCTTGTGGTCTATCCATGCCAAGTGTAGCCACATCATCCTCACTTTCACTGCCTATTCCTGGTGTAGGGCCACGGGATGTACTGTCCCCTGGGCACTGCATAGGGAACACTACCCGAGCGCATGCAGTAGGGTATGTACCGACGCTTCACTGGTGAATGTTTCCTCACTATCACTACTCGAATGATCATCAAGAGCAATAAAATCACAATCCACGTCACTATCATCATCATTACTGAAGTCAGAGGCCTGGCCACGCGAAAATAATAGTTTTCTCTTGCGATGAGGTACAACTGACCGTGACTGAGGAGTGCCCACACCAGAGGTAGAAGGTTGAGGATTGTCAGGGTTTTCTGCACTATTATCGATATCCTGGTCATTCCTTTCGGTCACTAACTGATCAAAGCCAAAGAATTCGTGTTCATTTCCACTCCCGTCAGAGTCAGAACTATTAGATAGGAAGAGGAGAGTCCCAATTTTCATTGGAGTGAGAGCTGCCTTGCAACGAGGCATGGTGAACAAAGGTAACTGAGCCGGCATTCCCACAATGCTATGCGGGCGCCTAGAATTTTTGTTTACAGCACACACACCACACAGACCCATTCTCTCACATGTAGGCCTACCAGCCTTTTTGCGCTAAATTTGATGCCACTAGATCTACGGTTTGGACCCTGAACGTAAAGCCGTAGATCCACGGCACGGACCCTGAAAGGGTTAATAATGCATTTTGCAGTTTCTCTTGATTGATATGTTAGCCCAGGTTCCTCCTTCCATTTTTTCTAATTTTTTTTATTATCACACTGGCCGATTCCCACCAAGGCAGGGTGGCCCGAAAAAGAAAAACTTTCACCACCATTCACTCCATCACTGTCTTGCCAGAAGGGTGCTTTACACTACAGTTTTTAAACTGCAGCATTAACACCCCTCCTTCAGAGTGCAGGCACTGTACTTCCCATCTCCAGGACTCAAGTCCGGCCTGCCGGTTTCCCTGAACCCCTTCATAAATGTTACTTTGCTCACACTCCAACAGCACGTCAAGTATTAAAAGCCATTTGTCTCCATTCACTCCTATCAAACACGCTCACGCATGCCTGCTGGAAGTCCAAGCCCCTCGCACACAAAACCTCCTTTACCCCCTCCCTCCAACCTTTCCTAGGCCGACCCCTACCCCGCCTTCCTTCCACTACAGACTGATACACTCTTGAAGTCATTCTGTTTTGCTCCATTCTCTCTACATGTCCGAACCACCTCAACAACCCTTCCTCAGCAGTCTGGACAACAGTTTTGGTAATCCCGCACCTCCTCCTAACTTCCAAACTACGAATTCTCTGCATTATATTCACACCACACATTGCCCTCAGACATGACATCTCCACTGCCTCCAGCCTTCTCCTTGCTACAACATTCATCACCCATGCTTCACACCCATATAAGAGCGTTGGTAAAACTATACTCTCATACATTCCCGTCTTTGCCTCCAAGGACAAAGTTCTTTGTCTCCACAGACTCCTAAGTGCACCACTCACCCTTTTCCCCTCAATTCTGTGATTCACCTCATCTTTCATAGACCCATCCGCCGACACGTCCACTCCCAAATATCTGAATACATTCACCTCCTTCATACTCTCTCCCTCCAATCTGATATCCAATCTTTCATCACCTAATCTTTTTGTTATCCTCATAACCTTACTCATTCCTGTATTCACTTTTAATTTTCTTCTTTTGTATACCCTACCAAATTTATCCACCAATCTCTGCAACTTCTCTTCAGAATCTCTCAAGAGCACAGTGTCATCAGCAAAGAGCGACTGTGACAACTCCCACTTTGCGTGATTCTTTATCTTTTAACTCCACGCCTCTTGCCAAGACCCTTGCATTTACTTCTCTTACAACCCCATCTATAAATATATTAAACAACCACGGTGACATCACACATCCTTGTCTAAGGCCTACTTTTACTGGGAAATAATTTCCCTCTTTCCTACATACTCTAACTTGAGCCTCACTATCCTCGTAAAAACTCTTCACTGCTTTCAGTAACCTACCTCCTACACCATACACCTGCAACATCTGCCACATTGCCCCCCTATCCACCCTGTCATACGCCTTTTCCAAATCCATAAATGCCACAAAGACCTCTTTAGCCTTATAAAAATACTGTTCACTTATGTGTTTCACTGTAAACACCTGGTCCACACATCCCCTACCTTTCCTAAAGCCTCCTTGTTCATCTGCTATCCTATTCTCCATCTTACTCTTAATTCTTTCAATAATAACTCTACCATACACTTTACCAGGTATACTCAACAGACTTATTCTCCTATAATTTTTGCACTCTTTTGTCCCCTTTGCCTTTATACAAAGGAACTATGCATGCTCTCTGCCAATCCCTAGGTACCTTACCTTCTTCCATACATTTATTAAATAATTGCACCAACCACTCCAAAACTATATCCCCACCTGCTTTTAACATTTCTATCTTTATCCCATCAATCCCGGCTGCCTTACCCCCTTTCATTTTACCTACTGCCTCACGAACTTCCCCCACACTCACAACTGGCTCTTCCTCACTCCTACAAGATGTTATTCCTCCTTGCCCTATACATGAAATCACAGCTTCCCTATCTTCATCAACGTTTAACAATTCCTCGAAATATTCCCGCCACCTTCCCAATACCTCTAACTCTCCTCTCCTATTTTTAACTGACAAATCCATTTTTTCTCTAGGCTTCCTTAACTTGTTAATCTCACTCCAAAACTTTTTCTTATTTTCAATAAAATTTGTTGATAACATCTCACCCACTCTCTCATTTACTCTCTTTTTACATTGCTTCACCACTCTCTTAACCTCTCTCTTTTTCTCCGTATACTTTTTTCTAATACTGTATTTTATTAATACATACTTTCAAAATTTGCCCACTATTTTATTCAATACTGTTATTATCAAAATATTTACTACAAATACTGTTTTACTGACCCCAAAGTATAATTGAGCATTGGAGGTTTAGCAGTATTTTCTGGGATACTGTAATAGATTAAGCACTGAAAGCAATTGGAAATTTAAGTCAGCAGTTAAACCGAATGTCAGTTTTCTTTTATTCAGATGTTAATTTAATATTTTTATTGTTTTACTTGCTTGTTTTTGGTCACTGGCCCCATGATTTCTATTCCTTTTAAATACTGATGGATTTTAGTGTTCAAGCTTGTTTCCTTACCCACTTATAGCAGAGCAGTGTTATGTAAATGATTATGCTGTGTATTGTTGTCCCTCACATGTAGTTGTGCAACGAGCCATATTAATTTGCAAGTCATTCATAAAGCTCAAACCATTTCAGTATATTCAGTTTATATACTTGTTTCTTTATCCAGGGTCCTCCTCACATAGACCTACTGGACGTTGAAGAAGACATACAGAAGACAAATTTAATTCGAACCAATATGATAAGGGGCAAAATTGAAAATGTCCAAGTTTTGGGTAAGATCAGAGTAGATGAAGCTCATCGGGTTCTCTATGATGGAATACAATTTTCCTACTCCCCTGTTCCTAACACCTCTTACAGGTAAGATATTTTCAAATACTTTTTTATAATCACTTTTATATATTACATAGCATGATTTTACATAAAATGCCGAATTCAGGAACATTACTGCTTTAAGTGAGGTTTTACCGTAGCCTACATTATAACCTTATTCTGAAAAGTTACACAAAGTACAGCTATTAGCTAGTAACAACAGAATAATTTTTTTTTTTTCAAATTAGTTGTTATTGTAGTATTGGACCCTTCATGGGGGTGCGTTGATGCTGGTGAAGGGCTTGTGATGAAAGAAATTGGAGTTAACCCCCCCTTCCCTCCTTGGATCAGACCTGATTAGTTTATGGGTTTAATGTTTTACTTTGATTATCACTCTCATGCAACAACAAATGATCTTAATCATAATTTATTTTTACAGCCTTGCTCTCATAAACCTCAAAAGGTCAGAGCATTTGGTTATTCATGATCAAGACACAACAATGATGACTCCCCCTAATGTATCAACCACAGTGATTGCACCGTGGCCATACTGTCGAGGCCAGCAACATAGAAGTCATGATGATCACCTGATTACTCTCATAAGGGATATTCAAAATAAAAAACGCACATGTAAGTATTCTCTTTGTTGCAGAATTTGAATATACAGTATAATTATTTATCTTCACTTACACAGGGAGATAGCAGACAAAAATGAGGCAATAAAATGTCTTTATATATCTTGTTTTGTTGTGTTCAGTACCTGTAAGAATAATTCCCTTCATAGGGGGTTGCCTTGATTCTGATGAAGGATTTGTGGTCCATGGAATTAGTACTCTCCCCTTTCTTGGATCATTCTTGATTATACCTCCCATTCTTCAGATGTTATATAACCCCTACAGGATGAGCAGTTCCCCATTATTGTAATAATCTAATTCAATACAGTGCTATCAAAGCTGTCAAACTTCTTGCAGTCTTAGATTTTTAGATATTTCTTATTTCTCCTTTGTCTCTTGTTTTTATGCAACTGCTTTTCTTTTATACTTTAAGCTATCTTGCATAAGTTCAGGTTATAGCCTTTTTTTTTTTTTTTTACCACATATGTTGTTTCCTACCAGTGTAGGGCGACCCAAAGAAGGAACCTCATTCACCATCATTCATTGAGCAGGTGTCTTGCAGGATGTGAACAACCATCACAATTCAGAGGGTCAATTGAATTATCATGTTTGTGCACTCTTGGAAAGACAGTCATTGAATGGATGACGGTATACGTACATGTTTTCTTCTGTGGAAACCCATTTACCCTCTTTGAATCTAGTTATAATATTTTAATTTCAGGCCGTGATGACCTTGTTCAAGGATTGCTGTGGTCACAAACATGGACACAGCCATTGCTTGATAAGTGGATCAGTGATCGGTCACTCTCAGACATCATTGGCAGAGTCATCTTCACCAGATTTGGCCTAGCAAGATTTTATCCTGAAAGGTATCTGACATAAAAACTTATGGACATTTTACTTTTATAATTCATATTTTTTATGATTGTAGACTTATTCTGAGCTGAAGAGAAACTATTACAAATGTTGTATATACTTGTGTATAGGTAGTGGTTTAATGGGAGGCAGCTGGTATGTTAAAAAAATTTATTAGTGTGATTCTGCTAATACTGCAACAAAGAAATAGGAATCTAGTGTATGGTAGGCCCTCATTATGCAAGGATTTCATCCTCTCAAAAGTATTACACATGAATAAGTCAACCCCATATGTTTTTACTTGAAAATGTAGGCTTTAAGGTAGGGTGACCAAAAAAAAAAAAAAAAAAAAAAAAAAAATAAGAAATGCTTTCACCATCATTCATTCCATACTGTCTTGCTCTCCTTCAGGGTATAGTCACTGTACCACACACCTGGACTCAAGTTCGGCTAACCAGTTTTTCCCGAATCCCTTCATAACTGTTACCTTGTTCACAACTTAAATGGCATATAGTCATGAAAATCGCTTGTCTATATTTGTTTAATGTGCTCGCACAATGTCCAAGCACCTAGCACTCAAAACCTCATTTATTCTCTCCCTCTAGCTTTTCCTGGAATTATCCCTACCCCTTCTTCCCTCTACACCAGATTTATACACGCAATTAGTCATCCTATTTTGCTTCATCATTTATAAATGTCCAAACCACCTCAACAACCCCTCCTCAGCCCTCTGAATAATACATTTGGTAACCCCCACACCTAATCTCCAAGCTCCAAATTCCCTGCACGGTGTTCACACCACAAACATGACATCTCCACTGCCTCCAAATATCCTCCTCGCTGCAACATCTAAAACCAATGCTTCAATAAATAAAGTTTTTTGTGTCCATAGATACCTCAGTTCGACTACCCACCTTTTATCCCTTGTAAATTCTATGGTTCATCTTATCTTTCATAGACCCATCTGCTGATTAGGCCACTCCCAGACATCTAAACATATTTACTTCCTTCACACTCCTTCCCTTCAGTCTAATTTCCAATCTTTTAGTATCTAGATTTTTGTTTACTCTCATTACCTTGTTCTTTCCTATGTTCACTTCTAATTTTCTTTTTTTACATATCCTCCAAGATTCCTACACCAACTTTTGCAATTTCTCTTCAGAATATCCCTACGGAACTGTGTCATTGGAAAAAGCAACTATGACAGATTTGCAGAAAATAAGGAAGTTTTGGAGTGAGAATACATTGAGAAATTCAGGGAACAAATGAATTTAACATTTTAAAAACAAGAGAGAAGTTATGTGGGAAGGTGGAGGTATGTTAAACAACCATGGTGACATCACACATCCCTATAAAAGGCCTAATTTTACTGGAAAATAATCTCCCTCTCTCCTACATACCCTAACATGAGCCTCACTATTCTCATACAAACTCTTAACTGCTGTCAGTGACCTATCACCTATTCCATACACTTTCAGCATCTGCCACATTGCTCGCCTATCCACCCTATCTTATGCCTTTTTTAAATCTATGAATACAACAAAAGCTTCTTTACCTTTATCTAAATACAGCCTCTCCTGACTTAGCGACATGCTTGTTTACCAACAACTCAGACTTACGACCAGCTCCCTGACCAGGATGCATACCTAAATAATGTATATTAGAGCTGATTTTCTCTATTCTGTTCATTAAAATATACAGTACATTGCTGTATAAACTTTTAAAAGTATATAAGAAATGTTATAAATGGTGCAAAGGTGACATTACAACAATATCAAAGATGGTTGACACAAACCCACTACCATTATAGTATGCTCCTCACTTAGTCATGAATTTGTTTACTGACGTGGTCTTAAGAATGCAACTCCATCGTTAAGTGAGGAGAGGCTGTATTGTTCACTTGCATGGTTCAATATAAATACTTGATATACACATCCCCTACCCTTTCTAAAGCCTCCTTGTTCATCTGTGATCCTGCTCTCTGCCTTGCCCTTAATTCTCTCAATAATAACTCTGCCATACACTTTACTTGGTATGTATCATATAGTATAATGTATCATATTTTCTTTAAACAGTCAGAAGCCTGGTGTGAATCGGTGGCATGATCCCTGGTACAACTCTGCACTGCGGAGAGCAGAACTCAACAGGAAAGTGTCTGTTATTCCGCACTCCCTTGGTGCAGTCCTTTCTGCTCCAGTCATAGTACAGAAGAATGGAGATGAAGTAATGGCTGCAGGTTTGTTATCTTGTTACTTTTTTAGATGTAAATTATTAAAGACTCAACTTTACACCTACTTTCTCGGCACTATTTCAGACACGTGAACATAGATATTAGTTAAAGATAAGTTCATGAGCAAAAGGATGAGGTTGGAAATATTAGTTTTGAAACTCCAACTCGATGAGTCAACTCTAAAAAGAAATCTGAAATCCGAAGATAGACTGTATACCAGGGGAGAGAAGGTAGTACAGTAGGGGAGAGGTTGGTGATCAGGAGAGGAAGGTCATGATTGTTACAGGAAGAGGGAAGGAAGATCAAAGTTTAGAAGAGAAAAGGGCACTTAATCTAAAGAATTAGAGTTACTCTTCACTTCCTTGAATCAAACTTTCTTGCTGCCCAGATTATGTTCATATATATATTGTGTATCAGTTCTACAGTGTCCACAGATGGGACTAAATCAACTATTTCTTTTGTCAATAATCAACAGTGTTTTCACGTCCTCTGCATCATTAGTTAAAATGAGGAAAATCGGTATATTATTTGCATGCAATACATAAATTGTTTATTACCTCTTTGAGAAAGGAGCAGTGCCTTATTACATACTGTACTTCCCATCACTCCTCCCTTCTTTCACCAGAGATAGCTCTCTAGTTTAGCAGAGGCATAGTGGTATTATACCTCCTGTTTTATGAGTGGATAACACAAGTAAATATGAAAAATTATGAAAGTATTGAGACAAGTATTGCATAGTGCTTGTTACTGTTGGATTGAAGAGTTATGACTGTCCAGTCATGGGAAGAGCACTAAAACTATAGGAAATTATATAGCACTTGGGGGAACGGATTTAGGATCAAATGAAGTAAGGGGATCACAGGTCTAGTCCCATAATAATAATAATGATAATAATTATAATCTTTATTTCTACAAATACATGTACAAAATATACAGGCCTAGCTGACATCAGTGACATTACTATATAGAAAGCCCCTTGTTATGCAGAGCATTTCGGGCAAATTAGGTCAATTTTGTCCCCAGGATGTGACCCACACCAGTCGACTTGTATCCAGGTACCTATTGTACTGATAGGGAAACATGGACTGCAGGTGTCTTGAGGAAACACATCCTAATGTTTCCAACTGAACCTAGGATCGACCTCTTGGACCTCAGTGTCTGAGACCCTGACTTTGCTCCCTGTAAATAAAGCATTACCATGTGTGTGTGTTTGCACATGTATTTATGTACTCATAGGTGTGTGTGTGTGTGTGTGTGTGTGTGTGTGTACTCACTTATTTGTGCTCACCTATTTGTGGTTTCAGGGGTCGAGTCACAGCTCCTGGCCCCGCCTCTTTGCTGATTGCTACTAGGTCCTCTCTCTCCCTGCCCCATGAGCTCTATCATACCTCGCCTTAAAACTATGTATGGTTCCTGCCTCCACTACATCCCTTTCTAGGCTATTCCATGGCCTGACTACTCTATGACTGAAGAAATACTTCCTAACATCCCTTTGCTTCATCTGAGTCTTCAACTTCCAATTGTGACCTCTTCTGTCTGTGTCCCATCTCTGGAACATCCCGTCTTTGTCCACCTTGTCTATTCCGCGCAGTATTTTATATGTCGTTATCATGTCTCGTGTGTCTGTGTCCCAACAATTAATATTTGCACCAATAACTCATTACAGTTGTGACCGAGTGTGGACGTGTGAATTGCTCATTACTATTTAATTTGTTCATGATTGTAGCCATGTATAAATGTAAGTAAGTAAATTTACTTACTTACATGATTCATTACCTTTGTACCTAGTTCAGCTATCAAAACTTTGGGGGCCCAATCCCTGGACCCATTATGTACCTCTGAAATCTGTAAATACCTTTGTACCTTGTCATGATTGTGACCAGATCTACCTGAAGTTCATTACCCTTGTAACTTGCTCTGCTTTCAGAACTTTGGGGCCCAGTCCCCTGGACCCATTATGTACCTCTGTAATCTTTTGACTACTGCCCACAGGATGGGTATGGGGTGCATAATAAACATATTAAACTAACTAACTAATGTATGAGCTGAGTGCACTAGCAGTTGAGCTATGGGTTACCATGATCATGACCAAGCCCATAAATCAAGATACCTTAAAAGATAAAGATAAAGATTTCATTTCTTTGTAAAGGTTACAATGTGTAATTACAATTTTAGTTTGCTAAGTACGTACAAAGAAAGCCACTATCATTCCGGGGCATTTTGGGCAGACTAATCCTGATACATAACTACTTAAATCTAGACAAGATAAGAGTTGTTAACTTGTATTAAAATTTGTATTTAATGTTATTACCAATGCTAGGTAGTTAAGGTAGAGGTTTATAAGAATAATAATCTTGAAGTTGCTTCAAACTGATTAGAAGTTGTTTTGGTTGGTTTGGTTAGTATCGAGAGATGAGATGATTTTTAAGCAAAGTCCTAAATTTAGTGGTTCAAGTAGTGAATTCCAGATCTTCGAGCCCTTTATGTGCTTTGCATTTTTGCATAGTGTGAGACTGACATGAGGGATGTCAAAGATTGCCTTATGCCTTTATTGTGACTGTGTTCTGTTGTAGCATCAAGGAAAAGTTTAAGTGGAGGGTTTATATTGGAGCATAATGTTTTGTATATGTAGTAGGCACAACAGTATGAGTATATGTCTCGTATATTTAGTAAGTTCAGGCTTTTGTAAAGTGGTGGGGTGTGCTGCCTAGCCCAGGAGCTGGTAATCGTCTGCACAGCAGCTTTATGTTGGGTTATTAAAGATTTAAGGTGGTTGGCTGTGGTTGATCCCCAGGCACAAGTACAATAGGTGAAGTAAGGACATATTAAAGAGTGGTATAAGGGAAGGAGTGTCATTTGGGGTACATAGTATCGTATCTGGGAAAGGATGCCTACTTATTTGGAAATTTTCATGGAGATATGCTGGATGCGAGAATGAAATTTAAGGTTACAGTCAAGGAGAAGACCTAGAAATTTATCCTCAATGTGTCTTGTAATAGGGGAACCATTTACTGATATATTAAGCTAGGATATTTAAGGCTCTGTTTCCAGACAGCATGAAGTATGTTTTGTCTATATTGAGAGTGAGTTTGTTGGTCATCATCAAAGTATATATTTTTAGCAGTTCATTGTTTACAGTGTCTCTAAGTATAGCTGGATTTGAGTGGGAGTAGACATAAATACGTAGTGTCATCTGTGAAAAGAACTAGTTTAAGGAGTTGAGATACATTGGGGAGATCATTGATATAGATGAGAAAGAGGAGTGGGCCTAGGAGACTACCCTGGGGCACTCCAACAGCTACAGGCTGGAAAGTGGAGTTGACTCCATTTGTGTATACATACTGGTGTCTATTGTTAAGATAAGATTTTAGGTAATCGAGGGAATGTCCTCTGATGCCATAATGATTTAATTTTCAGTGCAGGAGATTGTGGTCCCCTGTATCAAATGCTTTCTGTAGGTCAACGAAGAGCACCAGAGGATATTCATTTTTATCAAGGGCTGTATATATTAGTTCAAGCATTTGTATAATAGCGTCAGTTGTACTTTTTTTGGTCTAAACCCAAACTGGCAGGGGGTTAAATATGTTGCTGGATATAAGGTAGGAGTAAAGTCATTTGTGTATTATTTTTTCAAATATTTTAGAAAGTAACGGCAAGTTTGATATAGGTCTCTAGTTATTCAGATCAGTTGGATCACCTCCTTTGAGGATCGGGGTGACCCTTACTGTCTTGAATATGGATGGGAAGGTTGAAGACTCTGAAGATTTGTTAAAGTGTTGCAGTAATGGGTGACAGCACATGAGCAGCTTTCTTATATATGAATGGTGGCAAATTATTTAGATCTCCTGCTTTGTTTTTTTTTAGTGATTTAATGATGAGTGAGACTTCAGTAGAATTAGTTGGAACTAGATATAGAGTATTTGGGTAGTTGCCAGTGAGGTAGTCTTTCGGCTGGGTATTTGAGCTAGGAATTTTGCTTGCTAGCTTCGATCCTACAGTAGAGAAGACATTTAATTTGTTGGCCGTGTCTATAGGCTGTATGTGAGGTTCGGATGGTTTAGCTAAGTTTATCTCTGTTTCTAGGTAGTTTTCTAGAGCCCAAAATTTTGGAGAGGGTTTGCCAGGTCCTTTTCATATCACCTTTTATTTCAATAAATCTGTTTTTGTAATACATTTGCTTTGATTTTCATATTAGTTTTGTGAGTATTGACGTGTATTGTTTAGCTAGTTCTTTAGTAATCAGGCCTAATCTGAAAAAAATTTTCAAGTTGGTGCTTTTTATAAATGTATTTGAGGATACTATTTGTTAGCCATGGGCTGTTTAGTCTCTGCTGTGCCTTGCCAGTATCACAGAATCTCCTTTGAGGCAAAGGGATGGCAGCAAATTGATGGTGATACTTGATATTTTGATCTTTTCCTACGGTATTTTCATGTTATGTACTTATATAATTGAGCTATAACACCACCATACCTTTACTAAATAGATCCACCTTTGGCGAATACATGTTTTGTAATTATCATTAAAGGAAATGGAAATTAGATCTGGAATATTATATTCTTGGTCCCCATGTCCAGTTATAACATAAGAATGTGTGGGAAAATGTGACTTGCTTAATATATTTTTTACTGTATGACTCCCATTCCTTTGTAGGTTAAGAGAGGGGTCCACTGTATTTTATTCCTTAAGACTGACAATGTATGCAAGTGTATAATTCCATTTTTTTTTTTTCAACAAGTCGGCCGTCTCCCACCGAGGCAGGGTGACCCAAAAAGAAAGAAAATCCCCAAAAAGAAAATACTTTCATCATCATTCAACACTTTCACCTCACTCACACATAATCACTGTTTTTGCAGAGGTGCCCAGAATACAACAGTTTAGAAGTATATACGTATAAAAAATACACAATATATCCCTCCAAACTGCCAATATCCCAAAACCTTCCTTTAGAGTGCAGGCATTGTACTTCCCATTTCCAGGAATAAAGTCCGGTTATATAAAATAACCGGTTTCCATGAATCCCTTCACTAAATATTACCCTGCTCACACTCCAACAGCTCGTCAGGTCCCAAATACCATTTGTCTCCATTCACTCCTATCTAACACGTTCACGCACGCTTGCTGGAAGTCCAAACCCCTTGCCCACAACACCTCCTTTACTCCCTCCCTCCAACCTTTTCGAGGACGACCCCTACCCCGCCTTCCTTCCCCTACAGATTTATACGCTCTCCATGTCATTCTACTTTGATTCATTCTCTCTAAATGACCAAACCACCTCAACAAACCCTCTTCAGCCCTCTGACTAATACTTTTATTAACTCCACACCTTCTCCTAATTTCCACACTCCGAATTTTCTGCATAATATTTACACCACACATTGCCCTTAGACAGGACATCTCCACTGCCTCCAACTGCCTCCTTGCTGCAGCATTTACAACCCAAGCTTCACACCCATATAAGAGTGTTGGTACTACTATACTTTCATACATTCTCTTCTTTGCCTCCATAGATAACATTTTTTGCCTCCACATATACCTCAACGCACCACTCACGTTTTTTCCTTCATCAATTTTATGATTAACTTCATCCTTCATAAATTCATCTGCTGACACATCAACTCCCAAATATCTGAAAACATTCAATTCTTCCATACTCCTCCTCCCCAGTTTGATATCCAATTTTTCTTTAAATCATTTGATACTCTCATCACCTTACTCTTCTCTATGTTCACTTTCAACTTTCTACCTTACACACACTAATTCCATATAACCTTTAAAACTATTGTGTATTGTTTTCAGCTGTGGCAGTAAACCTTACTGCAAATTTCCTGCATAGAGGTTTTGTGGAGCAGCTACAAAACAAAGAATGGTGGGATCAGAATGAATACCTTGTACTGCTTCTTGATGATGGAGGACTCATCATCACATCGAACAGAGAACTTGTAAGTATAATAAAGCGATAATATTTTGTCTTAGGTGGCTATGCAGTTCATATTCACTACTTAGGAAATACACCTATCTAATGGCTTTCATACCATTACCCTCCTGCAGCTTTGAGTCTTATACTTTGTAGACCAATTCTGTTATAAATGAATTCCATACTTTATGGAGCATTTGAATTTAGTAAATATTAATAATAGTAAAAGTAAGTTTATGCCTTTATAGCAAACTCATGCTGGTTAACAAGCTTTATTTTGAAAAAACTATATCCCGAGCTTCAATCCTCTATTAATACCAGTATCTTTGGCATTACATTCACTACTTGTAAGTGCCAGGAGCATCACCAAACTATTACACAAATAACTGGACAGAATTAGAATACCCACACCATCTACATGACAACATAAAGCTATACTGGATAAAATGCACATACTGTACTGAACACGGCAGACAAAGTGAAACTACTGGATTTGCCAGCAATCTTTCCAGTACTAAATTTACCTAAAAAATCATAGGCAAAAAAAGAAAAAAAAAACACAATTAGAATCTCCTTAATCTTTGCAAATATACAAAGCATAAAACCAAAATGGAAAATAAGGTACATAAATGGCCTGCTCACAGAAATCCCCACTGATTATTTCTCGGTGAAATATAGATCCAACATTATAATTTGTATACAAGCGATGAGTTAATAAATTGCAGGAGTAGGAGGTTTGTGTGTTAACGGTTCATGTCTTTGTACTGAATATTAAAAATCACTAAATGATTTAATAAAATATATAATCTGCACACTGCTATAACAATTCACTGGAGTGAAAGTTATGGAAGAAAGTGTGGAGTAAAATTATTGAAGAGCAGGGGGCCATGGGTACAGTTAGAGAATACTGTGTCAGTCAGTATGGCAAGACTCAACATACTACCAGCAGATATCAGAATAACTCCAGAAAAAAAGATTGAAATTTTAAGATGAAGCTGGATAACTTCCTTCTCTCAAATAACTCAGACCTTGGAGAGGAAGCTTATGATGATGCTTCAGTCCATCCTAGACCACTGTTAAATCACAGCTGGGTTGGGAATGCATCTCTAGTCATAACATGGGTGTCCTATAGGAAAAATAAGTTTCAGGTTCTGAAAAATCAGCTTACATTTTTCTGGAATGCATTATCATTGGAAGTGGAGCATCTACTTTATAAAACAGAAGACAGGAAAGGGAATGAGTGGGCAGACTGCATATTTCTAAACTATTAGGTCTTTGACATGGTGCATTACAGGCAACTTAGTTACAAACTAAAATTGTAGAATGAGATATCAAGCAGTGTACTCCATTATATATTTTAATAGACATGAAGAATAAGTTGATTATTGTTCTCTTCCCAACAGATGCATGGTATAACCCTTCAGGGTATGTTCATTGGGGACCTTGACATACCAATATTAAAGCACCTGAAGGATTCAAGATTATACGATGTGGAAGTTGAAGTTGACAAACAGGCTATATGTAAGGAGCTCAAACATAATGAGACAAGTGCTGGTCCAAGAAGTTCTCACATTCCCAGTCCTTTGTCATTTGTAGCCAGCATTTTGATCGAGGTATTCTCTTGGGCAGAATACCTAAAATATCTACTTTACAGGTCAGTTTTTTATTATATAAATAGAAAATAGCAATAGAATATTGTCCATATCCATTGATCTGGTTTTGTTTATGTGCATTTTACCTGACTTCCACCATTTCATGGAAGCATGTGGTTTGTGTAGGTTACACACTTGATGCATGTGTCAGGGTAGCCAGATAGATCATGTAAAAAATCCTGACCAGTGACCCAGTTTACCCTCATTTTCAGACTTCTTCCCCTTCAATTTTTGGCAGTTATTTAATTATTTAGACTTGTGGTATATACATTATAAAATGGCATATACAGTGGTCCCTCACTTTTCGTTGTTCTCGGCAATCGTAAATTTCGCCAATCATAGGGGTATTTTCGTATAAACATGGACTCGCTTTTCATAGGTTGACTCGCGAATAGTAGTTTGTCCGGGACGCGTACGCACGGTGTGAGCCGGGGAGGCCTCCCTACCCAGCCAGTCTGGCATTGTTTACCAGTGAGTGAAGGTCCCCTCAAGTGCTCCTACGAAATATTTCATAATATTCCACTCATTTTAGTGCTTGCAAGTACTAAATAAGCTACCATGGCTCCAAAGAAAGCTCCTAGTGCCAAGCCTGTGGTAAAGAAGGTGAGAAATATGTACAGTGACAGTCTTGGGCCATTTTAGGGAAGTGTTAAAGAGACGCCAGAAACAGAGCTCTCTCCACAGTTACTTTGCGAGACAGGACTAGAGTGACTTAAGGTGGTCCTAGTGGCATTAAGAAACAGAGAAGAGAAGCAACCCCAGAGAAGCAATTGGTACCTGAGGTGTTGCTAGAAGGGGATTCCCCTACCAAACTGTAAACAATCCAATCTCTCTCCTCCTCCAGTCTCCCATACACTAAGAAGAATCTCCAATAAAGGTAAGTGTTATGCTGTTAATGTTTCATTCATCATTTCCCATTGTATTGTTTATGTACTACATGTATATTTCATGTAAAAAATTTTTTTGTTTTAATACTTCTGAGTGTCAGGAACGGATTAATTGTATTTACATTATTTCTTATGGGGAAAATTGATTCGCAAATCGTAAATTTCGTTTATAGTAGCTCCTCCAGGAACGGATTAATTACGAAAAACGAGGGACCACTGTAGTTAAATCTAACTAAACCATAAATACAGTAGGGACATAGTTAAAAGACCTTAACCCATTCATTATTTTTCTTTTTAATTAATGTATATTACGACTATGGATTTCCATGAAAACATTGTTACTCAAGAATACAGTGGAACCTCAAAAATCGAACTTAATCCGTTCCAGGAGCTAGTTCTAAATTCGAAAAGTCTGAAATTCGAAGCAATATTTCCCATAAGAAATAATGGAAATACAATTAATCCGTTCCAAAAACCCAAAAATATTCACACAAAAAATGCATTTTATAGAGATTAATTACAGTTTTACATAAAACAAATGCTATAGTTTTTAATTATGTATAGTAATACATATAAAATAACATTTTTACTTACCTTTATTGAAGATTGGTGATGGCATCTGGAAGATAGGGAGGAGGAGAGAGGGAGTTGGGGTTAGTGTTTGGAAGGAGAATCCCCCTCCATAAGGACTTCAGGTAAAGCCCTCTCTGGGGTTACTTCCCTTCTCTGTCTTTTAATGCCACTAGGACCAGCTTGAGTCACTGGACCCCTGTCTCACAAAATAACTGTCCACAGTCCTCTGTTTCTGGCGCCTCTTTAACATTTCCCTAAAATGGGACATGGTTCTGTCACTGAACTTCTTGCAAAGATGGCTTGTTTCAGCTTGCTCAAGGTGGTACTTCTGCACAAACATTTGAACATCATTCCACTTGGCACAAATCTCTTTAAACTTTGAAGAAGGCACCTCATCCATTCCCTATATTAACACCTTTCGCAACATTAGCTTCCATGATTTGTTCTTTCTTTGACAGGATAGAACCGATGGTCGACTTGTTTTTCCCATACATCCTGGCAAGCTCAACAAGTCTCGCACCACTCTCATACTTCTGTATTATTTCCTTCTTCACATCTGTGGTGTTTTTCTCACTTTCTTTACCACAGGGGTACCACTAGCAAGTTTCTTTGGGCCCATGGCAGCTTATTTCACAGTCCCACAAGAAATAAACACAACGAAATAATCGTAAAATGCGTGAATGAGAGCGCAGGTTAGTGTTCACTCAAGCATAAACAAAGCTAGACTGCTCATGGCGCCTACGCGGACAGAGCGGGCAGCAGACAGGTCCTGTACCCGGCAGTCCGAAAATAGGGGCGCGTTCGATAATAGGGACATAGTTTGTCCGAAAAAATGGTCCTATTGTCGAAACGTTCAATATGTGATACGTTCGACTTTTGAGGTTCCACTGTAATAATTATTTTTTTTTTATCACACTGGCCGATTCCCACCAAGGCAGGGTGGCCCGAAAAAGAAAAACTTTCACTGTCTTGCCAGAAGGGTGCTTTACACTACAGTTTTTAAACTGCAACATTAACACCCCTCCTTCATAATATTTTATATAATAAATCTGTCTGAGACTCATGAACCATACAAAATCTGCATGTTAACCTACCCAGTCAGTGCAAGTGGAGTTAATAAAATAAGGAAATTCTGGCTTATTTTAAATGATGATGATTCTTATAAAGTGAACATTCATGAAACATTTTTTCTCCATGGCTTTGATTTCCCCAGCAAATAAAGGGTTTATTCCCAGTGTGGCAACCCTGCCTATAACATGCTAAAATTACCTGGTTTGTTTGATCAGCTACTTCCAACAAATGTAAAAAGTCCTGTACATACAGGTTTCATTGAAGATTCCTAGGATAGGTAATAAAAAGTTCTATAACATGGTAAAATTATCTTTTATGAATTTCACTTCATTTTCTTAATCTGTATTATGGTAGGTACAAAGCATTCCTATATGCTAAAATTATCTAGTTAATTTTCATTTTATTTTCTATTTCTGTGCTTTAATATTTAAAAAAAATTAATATAGTATAACATCTTTCTGCAGTGGTGTACTTGCTATCATAACACCAAGTGTTGAGGCTTGGTCAGAATGGGGCATGACACAAATTGGAGGTATGGAGTCATGCAGAATGGAGAGAGCAATCTATTATTTTGGTGAGACAAAAACACTCTCAGGCATCCTGAAATGTAACAATTATTCTGCAAAAGTAAGTACAGTATATAGTATAGGCTACTGTATGCATGGGGAAGCACTAATTTTGTAGGTGTCATACAGTGCCTAAGGAATGGGAGGTAATCATATTTAATTCAAGAAGATAGTTCGGATTAATTGGATTAAGAGCCTCTCAGCATCAAGGAACCATCTATGAAAGGCCCTTTTTTTTTTTTAGGAGATTGTATAATATTAGGCTGAAAATTTAAGTACATATAGTACAAGACCAAGGTTACATTTAATTTTATATCACTTAACGTTTTTTGCAACACCATGAACTTTCATAACAGCACAGTAAAAAGAAAAATTACCCCTCAGATTCTAAACAGTGTTATGAAAGTGTGTTGTCACAGACCTGCAAAACTTATTATATACAGTACTGTCTAGTTATTGTACATTCAAGGAAGTGCTAAACTTTTAAGGGTCATACAGTGCATGGATAATGGAAGGCAATCAGGCTCAATCCAAGGCAGGGAAGGATGGGTCCAGTTTGTTGGTATAAGAGCCTTTCATTAGTATTCTCTGGTTTGATCAGGTTAGGAAGGCAGTCAGCTGAAATACCTTGTCTTGGCACATCTTCATTATCAAGGAACCTTCCTTGAGGGGAGGGTACATCTTTAGTGGAGTAAACTGGAAGAGCAATCATACATTGCTCCCAAGGAGGGAACGAGGTTAAGGAATCTTCAGGTAACCCAGATTAGGGAAAAGAGTGATTTATGTTACAGGTACTACAAAGCATGCACTAATGTAGATTTAAAAAAATCATTAAGTATGCTTGTCAGAATAATTGACATTACATGAAAAGTGACAAATGCTAGTGAGGTGCAAATTGTAGGCTGTCTTGCAAATGTTTTTTGCACTGGGTGACAGTGTATTACAGATATGACTGCTATATTTATGTGAAAAAAAAATGCTGTATAATCCTATGGGTTTAGTGCTCCATGATAAATATATGTGAAAAAATAAATTTATTAATACATTAAATATTTTAGATTAAATATAATCACAAGCTCAGGACATATCTTACCTACTTGTAAGAAACTAAAATTGGAATTAAATGGTAATGCACATATACTCTATCAGCTACTGTATATGCTGTTTTATGTGCAGTAATTTTTTTTTACTACTCAAGAGAGGTTCCCTGAAAGCAATGAGGGGCACTTATTCCAAGGAATTGAATTTCTGCTCCCTTTCTTTGGATTGAACCTGAATGTCTTCCATTCCCCCAGGCATTGCATGACTCCCCATGAATGTAATGTGTATTTATTAGATTGTTACTAGTATCTTTAAGAAAAAATGTTGCTATAATGGAGAAATTACAAAAATTTTACACTCGCAGTTCTGGGCTGAGCGACTGCAAGATACAAATGCAATGCTGATTGCTATTGAAATGAGTGCCAATGTACAAGAATGTGGTGTATATTCCAACCTACCTGGCATTCAACCAAAACGAGTAACTTCACAAGAGCCATGTGCGTATCAGGACAGGTACAGAAAACGACTGATTAGCTGCCTTACAAGTAATTCAATGGTGAGTATTCCATACTGTTTAAAAAAAACACAGGAAATAGGTGAATACAGTTAGGTAGTGTCTGATTATATCTAGGAGATGAAGGATCAATTCTATCACTCCACATACAGTTACAGGCTTCTAGTCAACTGGAATTTGTGATTGACACTAAACTTGCTAGACACTGTACATATAGTACAGCAACCCTCTCGTATATCATAATTCTTTCTTTCTTTCAACACACCGGCCGTATCCCACCAAGGCGGGGTGGCCCAAAAGGAAAGTTTCTCCTTTTACATTTAGTAATATATACAGAAGAGGTTACTAGCCCCTTGCTCCCGGCATTTTAGTCACCACTTACAACACGCATGGCTTACGGAGGAAGAATTCTGTTCCACTTCCCCATGGAGATAAGAGGAAATAAACAAGAATAAGAACTAGAAAGAAAATAGAAGAAAACCCAGAGGGGTGTGTATATATATGCTTGTACATGTATGTGTAGTGTGACCCAAGTAGAAGTAGCAAGACGTACCTGAAATCTTGCATGTTCATGAGACAGAAAAAAGGACACCAGCAATCCTACCATCATGTAAAACAATTGCAGGCTTTCGTTTTACTTACTTGGCAGGACGGTAGTACCTCCCTGGGCGGTTGCTGTCTACCAACCTACTACCTAGGTACATGTATATCATAATTATATTAAATGTTGTATGATCAAATTTAACCATCAATCATGAATATAATAGCATTTTTAATAATTATTAAACGTGAAGGAGCTTCTCAAATGTAATGATAGTATTATGCAAAGCATTTGTGATAAATCCCTATCACTACAACACAGCATTTATTTTTTATGAACATTAGAGGGGGAGGATATTTTGACATGCTGAATGTTAGTAATGAAAGGGAGGCAGTTTCATGCATTGAACAGGGAAGGATAACATCATTTAGGAGAATGATGATCAAGTGTTTACACTGAAGTATGAGTGAGCCAGGAAACATACTCCACTCTTCAAAAGTTTAGGCTTACTTAACATACAAAAGATTTTACTTATACATCTCTGCATATATAGAACAATCAATTCTAACACTAATCCTGCCCTAAAATTCTTGATAGCTGCAATAGAACTCGTAGGCCTAAGACTAGACACAATCTGATATTCCCTGTTTAACTCAACAGGCATAAAGGGACCTAAATTCTGGAACTCTCTGGTTGAAGATTCCAGATGTTCCCTATCAACAAACCACTTCAAAGCTACTGTTAGAAAGCACCTTCTTACCTTAATGTGATCTTAACAATTCATACCAAACAAAACCTGAAACCCTGTTTTTCATCTAATATTGTTCCTGTTCTTTATCTCCCCTTCAACTCTCATATTACTAGAGAGACACATACTATCTTATCACATTTTGTATTGCTTCATTCATAACATGATTTTTTAGAATATTTTGAATTACCAAATACAATGAGTTATTAAATAACAAAAAAAGGCATAATACAGTGACTGGAACAATACACAAATAACCCGCACATAAAAGGTAGTAGGTTGGTAGACAGCAACCACCCAGGGAAGTACTACCGTCCTGCCAGATGACTGTGAAACAAAAACCTGTAACTGTTTTGCATGATGGTAGGATTGCTGGTTTCTTTTTCTGTCTCATAAACACGCTAGATAACAGGGATATCTTGCTACTCCTACTTACACTTTGGTCACACTTCACAGACACGCACATGCATATATATATACATACATCTAGGTTTTTCTCCGTTTTCTAAATAGCTCTTGTTCTTCTTTATTTCTTCTATTGTCCATGGGGAAGTGGAAAAGAATCTTTCCTCCGTAAGCCATGCGTGTCGTATGAGGCGACTAAAATGCCGGGAGCAATGGGCTAGTAATCCCTTCTCCTGTAGACATTTACTAACAAAGAGAAGAAGAAAAACTTTATAAAACTGGGATGCTTAAATGTGCGTGGATGTAGTGCGGATGACAAGCAGCAGATGATTGCTGATGTTATGAATGAAAAGAAGTTGGATGTCCTGGCCCTAAGCGAAACAAAGCTGAAGGGGGTAGGAGAGTTTCAGTGGGGGGAAATAAATGGGATTAAATCTGGAGTATCTGAGAGAGTTAGAGCAAAGGAAGGGGTAGCAGTAATGTTAAATGATCAGTTATGGAAGGAGAAAAGAGAATATGAATGTGTAAATTCAAGAATTATGTGGATTAAAGTAAAGGTTGGATGTGAGAAGTGGGTCATAATAAGCGTGTATGCACCTGGAGAAGAGAGGAATGCAGAGGAGAGAGAGAGATTTGGGGAGATGTTAAGTGAATGTATAGGAGCCTTTGAACCAAGTGAGAGAGTAATTGTGGTAGGGGACCTGAATGCTAAAGTAGGAGAAACTTTTAGAGAGGGTGTGGTAGGTAAGTTTGGGGTGCCAGGTGTAAATGATAATGGGAGCCCTTTGATTGAACTTTGTATAGAAAGGGGTTTAGTTATAGGTAATACATATTTTAAGAAAAAGAGGATAAATAAGTATACAAGATATGATGTAGGGCGAAATGACAGTAGTTTGTTGGATTATGTATTGGTAGATAAAAGACTGTTGAGTAGACTTCAGGATGTACATGTTTATAGAGGGGCCACAGATATATCAGATCACTTTCTAGTTGTAGCTACACTGAGAGTAAAAGGTAGATGGGATGCAAGGAGAATGGAAGCATCAGGGAAGAGAGAGGTGAAGGTTTATAAACTAAAAGAGGAGGCAGTTAGGGTAAGATATAAACAGCTGTTGGAGGATAGATGGGCTAATGAGAGCATAGGTAATGGGGTCGAAGAGGTATGGGGTAGGTTTAAAAATGTAGTGTTAGTGTGTTCAGCAGAAGTTTGTGGTTACAGGAAAGTGGGTGCAGGAGGGAAGAGGAGCGATTGGTGGAATGATGTAAAGAGAGTAGTAAGGGAGAAAAAGTTAGCATATGAGAAGTTTTTACAAAGTAGAAGTGATGCAAGGAGGGAAGAGTATATGGAGAAAAAGAGAGAGGTTAAGAGAGTGGTGAAGCAATGTAAAAAGAGAGCAAATGAGAGAGTGGGTGAGATGTTATCAACAAATTTTGTTGAAAATAAGAAAAAGTTTTGGAGTGAGATTAACAAGTTAAGAAAGCCTAGAGAACAAATGGATTTGTCAGTTAAAAATAGGAGAGGAGAGTTATTAAATGGAGAGTTAGAGGTATTGGGAAGATGGAAGGAATATTTTGAGGAATTGTTAAATGTTGATGAAGATAGGGAAGCTGTGATTTCGTGTATAGGACAAGGAGGAATAACATCTTGTAGGAGTGAGGAAGAGCCAGTTGTGAGTGTGGGGGAAGTTCGTGAGGCAGTAGGTAAAATGAAAGGGGGTAAGGCAGCCGGGATTGATGGGATAAAGATAGAAATGTTAAAAGCAGGTGGGGATATAGTTTTGGAGTGGTTGGTGCAATTATTTAATAAATGTATAGAAGAGGGTAAGGTACCTAGGGATTAGCAGAGAGCATGCATAAAGGCAAAGGGGATAAAAGAGAGTGCAAAAATTATAGGGGGATAAGTCTGTTGAGTATACCTGGTAAAGTGTATGGTAGAGTTATAATTGAAAGAATTAAGAGTACGACGGAGAATAGGATAGCAGATGAACAAGGAGGCTTTAGGAAAGGTAGAGGGTGTGTGGACCAGGTGTTTACAGTGAAACATATAAGTGAACAGTATTTAGATAAGGCTAAAGAGGTCTTTGTGGCATTTATGGATTTGGAAAAGGCGTATGACAGGGTGGATAGGGGGGCAATGTGGCAGATGTTGCAAGTGTATGGTGTAGGAGGTAGGTTACTGAAAGCAGTGAAGAGTTTTTACGAGGATAGTGAGGCTCAAGTTAGAGTATGTAGGAAAGAGGGAAATTTTTTCCCAGTAAAAGTAGGCCTTAGACAAGGATGTGTGATGTCACCGTGGTTGTTTAATATATTTATAGATGGGGTTGTAAGAGAAGTAAATGCGAGGGTCTTGACAAGAGGCGTGGAGTTAAAAGATAAAGAATCACACACAAAGTGGGAGTTGTCACAGCTGCTCTTTGCTGATGACACTGTGCTCTTGGGAGATTCTGAAGAGAAGTTGCAGAGATTGGTGGATGAATTTGGTAGGGTGTGCAAAAGAAGAAAATTAAAGGTGAATACAGGAAAGAGTAAGGTTATGAGGATAACAAAAAGATTAGGTGATGAAAGATTGGATATCAGATTGGAGGGAGAGAGTATGGAGGAGGTGAACGTATTCAGATATTTGGGAGTGGACGTGTCAGCGGATGGGTCTATGAAAGATGAGGTGAATCATAGAATTGATGAGGGAAAAAGAGCGAGTGGTGCACTTAGGAGCCTGTGGAGACAAAGAACTTTGTCCTTGGAGGCAAAGAGGGGAATGTATGAGAGTATAGTTTTACCAACGCTCTTATATGGGTGTGAAGCGTGGGTGATGAATGTTGCAGCGAGGAGAAGGCTGGAGGCAGTGGAGATGTCATGTCTGAGGGCAATGTGTGGTGTGAATATAATGCAGAGAATTCATAGTTTGGAAGTTAGGAGGAGGTGCAGGATTACCAAAACTGTTGTCCAGAGGGCTGAGGAAGGGTTGTTGAGGTGGTTCGGACATGTAGAGAGAATGGAGCGAAACAGAATGACTTCAAGAGTGTATCAGTCTGTAGTGGAAGGAAGGAAGGCGGGGTAGGGGTCGGCCTAGGAAAGGTTGGAGGGGGTAAAGGAGGTTTTGTGTGCGAGGGGCTTGGACATCCAGCAGGCATGCGTGAGCGTGTTTGATAGGAGTGAATGGAGACAAATGGTTTTTAATACTTGACGTGCTGTTGGAGTGTGAGCAAAGTAACATTTATGAAGGGATTCAGGGAAACTGGCAGGCCGGACTTGAGTCCTGGAGATGGGAAGTACAGTGCCTGCACTCTGAAGGAGGGGTGTTAATGTTGCAGTTTAAAAACTAGTGTAAAGCACCCTTCTGGCAAGACA